TTGGTACAGACTGAAGCCTATGGGCAGGAAAGGACACTAAGGGCCCTCAAGTGCCCCAGGGTTTAGCCTGGTGTCAACGCAGTGTGTGAGTGAAGCTAGAACTCCTGGCCTCGCCACCTCAGTGTGGCATGAAAATGGCTTCATGATCTTAGAGGATGCCTGAGACTGCAGGACCGCCCCGCAGTGCGCCTGGCAGTGGGGAGTGGCCGACAGAGCAGCAGACAGCCACCGCCCCCTAGTGGAAGTCCTGGGATTCTCTGCCATATTGGTAGTTACAAAGAAGTGATATTACTTGTACTGGACCCCAAGGAACCAGGTAGTCCTGGTGACATTTGTAGATCTCCCCTCCACTCTTCAACAAACCGTTAAGTGAAAGGAGTATTGTCCCAGGCATCCACCCTTATTGTTGCAGCGGGGTGGCAGAAGTTTTGAAACGATGGGGTTGAACACATATTTAACTGTGTCAACATGTCTCGGGTCAAATTCTTGAGGACTCCTTTCCTCTTTGATCTGGTTAGGGGTGGCTTTCTTCTCTCTCTGCCCTCCCCACTCCCATTTCAGAGACAATTATGTAACCTATTTAATGTCTGTTTTCCTCTTTAGAAAGTAAACTCCAGGAGTAGGCGCTGTCTTGTTTATTGTGGCATCCTTAGCCCCTAAGATAGCAGTGGGGCTTCATTCACTAATTTGACAGATAAAGGGCCTACCATGTGCCAGACTTGCAGTGAAGGGGGGAAGTCTGACAGTGTCTGTACACACGGTACAGTGTCTCTCCCTTTGGCGGAGATGGGGAACAAACTCAAACACGCTGCTGCAAGCAGTGAGTGCACACAGCATAAAACGAGGCAGGGGAGTGAGGAAGAGAGGTTGGGGTGCTCCACCCCACTCAGGGTACTCACACAGTTTTCTCTGGTCCCTTGACATTTGAGCAGGGACTTGAAGGAAGAGAGAGATCTCAGAAGTTCCAAGGCAAGGGTCCATATCCTGGGGTGCAAGTGTGCCTGACGTGACAGGAGCAGAGGCCAACGTGGCTGTCAGTGAGTGTGAGGAGAGAATCGCTCTGGCTGCTGGACTGAGGTCAGGAGAGGAGCTGGGAGCCAACAAGGAGCCTACCGGAGCAGGAGGTTGCAAAGCATGTGATGAGCAGGGGCCACACTCTGCCTATACTTGCATTTGAAGAGGCCCGTTGTTCTGTTGACACACAGTACCCCCGAAACCAAAACCAAACCCGTTGCCATCCACTCGATTCCAACTCACAGCAACTCCCATCGGGTTTCCAAGGCTATAAATCTTTATGGAAGTAGATTGCCCCATCTTCTTTCTGTGGAGCAGCTGAGGGGTTTGAACCGTTCAACTTCTGGTGAACAGCAAAATGCCTTACCCACAGCGCCACCAGAGCCCCTCTGATACACAACAGGTAAATTATACATATTTGCTGAATGACTGTTGACTCACCGGACTCCCTACGTCCCACCCCACTCCTCCCTGCTCTAGAACTTCCCCTCTGGTTTCTTCCTTCTCTGAGGTGCACAGGGAAGAATACTCCGTATCTCCTTCTGGGAGCCTCCCCTGACCCCTCTGAACTCGATGAGCTGATCAGGTATGTACTTCCACAGTGTCCACCTTAGGTTGCCAAGTCTGCCTGCCTCCACCGATACGTCCCAAGCTGCCCAAGGGTAGGGGTCCTAGCTCTCTGCTCGCTGCTGTCCTGACTGACAACCTATGACAGGAGCCCTGCCACATTGTTGTTGTTGTTGTTGTTATGTGCTGTCAAGTCAGCCCTGACTCGTAGCGACCCCTCCTTGGGTTTCCGAGGCAGTTTTACTTACGGAAGTAGGATTGCCCAACCTTCCTTCCGAGGAGTGGCTGGTGGGTTTGAACCGCCAGCCATCTGGTTAGCAGGCAAGTGTCTTAGCCACTATGCCCTGCCACATGGAAGGAGCCTAATACTGGCTTCCGTTTACCACCCAGTCTGGAGGGCTCCAGGGTAAGAGCAATTCCCTGCCCTTCCCCCTGAACCGAGGCCTGAGGGAGATCACAGGAGGCCTGAGTAGCCAACCATCCTCAGCCTCAGCCTCAGGCGATCCCATTACAACATGTCAAGTTCCAGAGTGACCCCCAGCACGCCCCCCAATGTAGCCAAGACAAGACAGCCAGCCAGTGATTATTTTTCTAAACTTTCGTTTATTTTATAGCAATTGTCATGATTAGAGAAGTAAATAACACATTTAAAAACCTTCTCAGGGCCAAAGGATGCCAGAGTATTTACAAACACATGGGGGCCTGCGGCAAGACATGAAGGTCTGGGGGATCCAGGACTGAGCTTCTACTCAAGACCCTGCCCGGGCCCTGAGCCAGGCTTGGGCGCTCATGGCAGCCACCAGGGCTGTCCCACCGGCCACAGCCTGGGCTCAGGAACATCGGGTGGCCTCGGGTCTCTGCCCAGTGGGCCCTGGTGGCAGACCCTCTACAGCTAGACCTGTGACCCCGCCTCCCGCCCAGGGGGGCTCTCCACACCCCACAGGCCAGCTCATAGGGGCCTCTGGGAAGCACCTTAGGACGGGGGCAGTGTGAGGGGCACAGGGGCTGGGACAGAGGTCGGGGATGACCCGGCCTGCCTGGGGTGGGAAACACACACACACGCGCACACACACACATACACACTGTACTTTCACAGAAGAATCGAGAGGGTGTTTTTTTTCTATGATTTTTTTTTTTGTCTTTGAAGCCTTCATATCTACGTGTTATTAATTTTTTGCTATGTATGTTTTTCTTCGACAGTGACATAAACTGAGGTAAACATCTGTGACCAACACCTCTCCTAAGGGGCAAAGGATCCCGACACGACCAGCAGGAGGCGGCAGTGGGGAGGAGGCGTGACTGAGAAGGGGCAGTCGGGGTCTCAGTCCGAGTCTGCCGCGGGCTGGCCGCTGCCCATCTCTGGGCCTCTGAGAGAGGGGGCTGGGCTACATACTACGGTCCCTTCCCGACTCTAACATCCTAGATACTACGACAAGGGAGAAACCTCCCAACAGGATCTTAACAGAGAGAGGGCACACTGCGAGAGGACTACTGTGAAATCTTGCGTCCTTCTTATTTATTGCAGGAGAGATCAGGATGTCAAGAGGCCTAAGGCAAAAGAAGTCGAGGCTAGGAGAGTGGGCCCAGGCGGGCTCCAGGTGGGCCGGGGGCAGTGATGGGGGCGTTCTGTGGGAACTGGCCCACAGTAGGAGGGGTTTGCTACTTTCATGGCGTGTGGAGGGCCCCAATGCCTGCTGGGGGGTGGGGTGGGTCTCAAGAGGGGTGGGCACACCGAAGAGAGTGGGGCCAGGCCCTGGGGCAACCGCACACTGTTTGTAAACTGGACCCGGGCAGGGCAGGGGGACCTATAGCCCTTTTGCGCGGTGGGAATGAGGGGTGAGTGGAGAGGTGGGGGCTCTAGGCCTGAGGGTGGGTGCTGCCAGCCTAGCCCATCAAGGAGCCCCGCACAACTGCCCCAGAACCCCAGAGGAGACCCTGGCAGGGGTGGCCCAGGATGGTGAGTGGGACACTGCCAGGGGGAGGGCGCAGCGGGGTTATTGCGGGGTCCCAGGCCTCCAGGGCACAGGGGTCATGGGGGCACGCGATGCTGCCTAGGGGCCTGAACCAACCTGCAGGTGCCTCCATGCTGGATTCCCTGAGGGGTGTGGTGAAACGCAGGCCTGGGTGCCCTTCTGGCAGCTGTCTGGGGAGAAGCCTGGCATGGGGTGGGGTTACTGAGACGTCTGGATGGCGCTCACACGCACGGGGTGCACCCACACATCTGCACCCGTGCACGCTCATGCCGCACACACCCCTCCCCACATAGCACCCTCACTCACATTTCCATGGCCCCCACTCATACCACAGGGGCAGCTCCCCACCTCGTGCATACCCCAGTACCAAGAATTTGGGGGACGTGGGGAGGAGCGGGTCTTAGAGGTTGACATGTTTGACTCCCAACTAGGACCTCAGGAGGAATTCCTGGCACTAAGCACCTCGCTGCCTGCTCAAAGCCCAGGCCACGGTGTCTGGGAGGGGCAGCGAGGACAGAGGCTGCGGGAGTCTCTGGCCTGCGGAAGGTGCAGCCGGCCAGGACAGCTCGGCCCACCCTGGGCTCTGCACTCACTCCCCTGTCTGGGGATGCAGGGGCAGCTGGGGCCCCTGCCCTGGGAGCCCTTCTGTCCACTGAGTTGTTGGGGCAATTCCCGGTGGGGGAGGTTCACAGAGCCAGGCCTCAGAGGCTGTGTGGCCTAAAGCAGGTTGCCTCCTTCATGCATCCTCATCAGTGGGGTGGGGCGGGGTGGTCGCTAGGTTCAGGGCTTTTGCCTGTGCACGGACACACACTTTGGTGGACAGACATCCAGACTTTTGCTACATTTTGCAGGGGGCGTGGCTCCCCCCTCCACAGCCTCTCAGGAAAAAGGGCAGGACAAGCTGAGCAAGCCCTAGCCGTCAGCTTGTTAATCCTGTACCAGCCAGCGCCCTAGGGGTCCTAAGCCCTTCTCTCTCTGCTCAACCCTGGATTCCCTTTCTGTGCCCAGGGTGGGGAGGGGCAGAGCGGGGTGAGGCCCGGAGGGCAGGACCTGGGTGGGCGAAGGGCCAGGTGCAACTAGGCAGGGTCCTACGGTTCAGGGAGGTGTTGGGGAGTCCACGCCCACAAACTCCCTCGCTCCTAGTGTGTATGACGCGGGGCTCCAAATCCTCGGGCTTGTGAGGCTCGGCCTCTCTGGGCCAAGACCCTGCCCACCAGGCCGGGCAAGAGATCCTCTGGTGACGAACTCACCAGCCACTGCAGCCCGCGACCTCTGGGCGCGCGGGCTCGCGGACCTACCTAGTCTACCACTCCCCTCCCCGCCGCAGGGGGGGCCGGTCGGTGGGTCTCCCGCCGCCGCCGGGGCAGGCTCCTGGAACGGCCAAGGGCGGCCTCCAGGCCCCGCCTGGTTGCTGCACGGCGCTCCGGCCCCAGGGCGCGGGGCGGCTCAGACGCAGATCTCGATGGCCGTGGCCAGCACCACTTGCCCCTTGCTCTTGTCCGGGCGGCCGTCGGTCCTGCCCGGGGGCCCTGGGGGTGCCAGGCCGGCCTCGGGCACGGGGACAGGCACAGGCCCACCGGCGGGGGGCGCGGGC